TGATCGATTCGAGGCATTTCGAATCCGCGATTCGCCAGACCTTCAACGTTTTGTCCCAAGATCCAGAGTACAAAAGCCCTAATTCCTCGTTCAGGCTCATGGACGAAATGGCGTCGAAATGCTTTATACGGAGGACGTTGCGGTGGCGCCGGACCTTCACGTAATTTTTCGGATTCATCGAGCTTTTCACGAATTCCTTCAGCGTCGGTAGGCTTCCGATTCGGCTGTGAGATTTCGGATTCTTCGGCGAAACTTTCCAGATCCGAATCTTTCCGTCTTGATGTCCGGTGAAAATCCTCTCCCCGCACAGGATTATCGCCTTCACCAATCCACTGTGCGATTTAAATCCGGTGAACTCCTTTAAATTCTTCCACACTCGAATGTTCCTGCTATCGGAGCCGGTGTACAGCAAGTCTCCGGCCACAGCCAGCGAATACACGTGCCCTTCCTCTCGCACCAGAGAGCCGATGAGGCCATTGTGGGCGTAAAAATCCTCGTCGTACGRTGGAATAATCCACGGAGATCTCGAATACGGAGAAGCGGACTGATTCCACGGCGACATCGCGTACGGCGACGCGTCACTGCTCGCCGGCGATTTGTCATAATTATGCACCGGACTCGCGGCGGCTGAGGCATTGCTGTGCCGTGGAGAGTAATCGTTTTCGTCGGGATTACAAGAAAACATCGCCGAATCGGACCGTAAAAAGGCGCCAAATCGCTTCCTGTTCAATCCGCTCCGCCGTTCCACAACCATGGTTCCTCCACCCTGTTCCTCCCTCATCGAATCGAGAAATCRAAAATCGAAAGCCGAAAAAAAGCACAAKAAATCGCGACAGAAAATTTCTTCAGAGAATTAGAGAATCGTATTGAATAAGTTTTAGTGATTTAATTTTTCTCAAATGGGGGGATCCGTGGGGAAGGCGAGTATATATAAGGGGAAGAGAGGGAGAAGAGAGAGAGAGGGAATGGTAGGTTGCCACGTGGGGGAGAGAGAAATAGTTATCACAAGGTAACCGGGAAACCGGGGGTACCGGTAACATGGYAGCTGAATTTGGTGAGAGGGAAAAGGACCACAAATTTTAATATTTTATTTTTTGAAATTAACCTTTTTTTCTTTTTTTTGTGCGGCGTTTAAACTTCGCACGCTAATTTTAATTTCGGGGGACTCGGAATCAGGCGTTTTCAGATTGAGAAGTTTGACCTTTGACTTTCTAATTTCCGGTCACGGCAAAACGGCGTCGTTAGGCGTCGGGTGGGCTGCAGCCACCTTCTCTTTACAGACATTCGGGTCGGGTCGGTGGAGCCTAACCGGGAAGATTCAATGGCCCACACCGGATTTGCCAACCGAGTCAATTGAATTAAGATTGTTATGTATTAATTAAATTAAATTAAATTATTATTATTATTCTTTTGTTCGTAATTAGGCGGCTTTGTTTGAATGTGATGTGTTCTAGATGAAGAAATTTATGTCTTTTGTAAAGTGGGTTTTCCATTTTCAATTGAAAAGTTTTCTTTTTAGAATAATACAATTCATAAAATGTAGGATACCAATCTATGTATTTAGATTAACTACAAACAATCTTTTTTGAAAGAATTTTATTTATACGATGAATCTAGCCTTGAAAGTTTTGTCCATTTTAATTTGATGAGATATAGACTTTTCCACACTTAAAATTGAAAAGAAAAAAAAAGACGACTTATTTGTGTGGTCAAACTCATGGTAACTTAAATTGAAATTTATAATTTACCATGGTAGGAAATGAGCCTTTAAATTTTTTTCTTAAATAACCCATTAAAAAAATTATTGGATTGTCATATTATTTACTATTTTATAAATAATGAGATTAAAATTTAAAATGACGAAGAATACATTACATATTTAATTAGTAACTTTTTTTTAACCTAGGGCAGAAAAAGAGAAAAAAAGATTTAAAGCTAAATCAAATTTGAGGATATTTTATGATGGAGAGTTTTTTTTTTTTTTTCATTTTAAGTAGAGAAAGCTGAGAAAAGAAAAATCATAACCAGAAACCTTAGTACGAAACTCCATTTTTTCTGGGTTAATTTTGAAAAGAAAAGAAAAACCATAATCATTAAAGGTCAAATTGAAGGGGGAAAAAATCTCCAAAACTAAATGGCGAATAAAATAAAATTCAAGCATTTACAAAGTATAATAGTCAAGTTTGGGTAAAAAACACCAAGAGAATTTTTTTAAAGTAAATTAAATTAATTTTACCGTTCGAATGAATCTCTGTTTTCTAACATTGCCGACAACGACATAAACCTTAGTATTCAAAATCAAATGATCCAAAAGGAAAAGCAAATGGATGGCTTAAAATTCAAAAATATTAATTTCAAATATTCTTGTCAAATAAAACATGACTGACTCCTAGATATATATATCATATTATTGACCTTATTAGCTTCCCATTGATCTTATGAATTAAATTAATTATCTACCAASAAGAAAAATAATAATTAAGATATGCAAATTATTTGTTTGCTTGCTCTATTAGTTTTTTGTTTTCACCTTCTTTAAAGTTTTTTTTTTCAATCTTAATTAAATTTCAAAAACAAAAACACCATTTTCAACCTACTTTTGTTTTTCAAATTTGACTAATTCTTTGAATAATTTTTAAAAGAATTCTCTCTTTCTATTTTTGAAAAATTTTGATCGCTTAAAGTCTCTACTTCTATTTTCATTACTCCGTAACACCCTATGAGTCTATTAGAAAGAGAAAAATACATTTTCTAGAGGAAGGAGCACGTGTAAGCGAAAGAAAGAGTGTATGGTAGAGAGAAAAATGTACATTAGTTGAGTCATTCCCTTTTATGATACTGAGCCGGGCAAAACCAATAAAATAAAGAAACAAATCTATTYCCCGAGCAAAAGGAGAGAGAGGGATTCGAACCCTCAATAGTTCTTTGTTTCGAACTATACCGATTTTCAAGATCGGAGCTATCAACCACTCGGTCATCTCTCCAAATGATAATTTCTATTTGATTTATATTTGATCCCATCGAATAGAACATTGACACACGGAGGCTTCGATCGCGGGCTTCCCTATCATCAGGTCACCAACTTCCAGCCACCTCCTGCATATGTAATACTTTATGCTACAAAAAAAAAATTTWAAATACCCAAGCATCTATGTAACACGATTATATGASCAATTACATATTATATTTATAATTAAAAAAAAGTTTAGTGAAACTTTTGACAAATGTGTTTAAGAGAGAGAAGAGTGTGTGGTAGATATCGATRGGGATATATTTTCTCTCCTTTAAATAGAATGATTATCCGTGGTTAACAAAAMGAAACTCCAATTTTTATACGTAGGAAAGTTTAAAAGTTTAATTTTGGCAGTAAAAATTCGTGAATGCAATCATGTAAACAATCACTAATGTTCACAGAGGTAGAGCAAAATTTTCTTTCAAAGAGGGGTAAAATTTTACCTACTATATCTTTGAATTTTTAAAAATATTGGGGGTGAGGACGAAATTTGTACGAAACTATCAAATCTCTAAGTATTTTGTTTCGTGCAAATACCAATAGTTAAATTCTCTCTCCTTATGTGAACATAACTCAACAGTAATTAATATATATCTCGAGTTAAGAGATCGTGAGTTCGATCTTCCACCCCTACATATTATACTAAAAAACTTTTTTCTGACAAAACAAAACAAGAATATGCATTTCTTCGTATGGTAGCAAAATTTTAGATCTTACATATAAATAGTGCAATTTATTTATTTTTCTCTAAAAGAAGCCCAACCTTTTTTTTCTTTTAAATTCAACAACACATATAGGAATTCAGACTCATTATCTTTTAAGTCAGAGATAATTTCCTTGACTAGTTGAACTAATTTTACGTTCGTTGGTGTGATATAATGCAAATTTGATGCTTTATAAAAAAAGAAAATAAAAAAAACACTACACTAGCTAATTTGAATTCAAAAGGAAAAAGAGAATTCTCAGAGATGAGAAAAAAAATGTCAAATTTATGATTTTTTTAGAAAACAAAAAAATAAAAAGTCCTGAGATGTTATCAACCTCGATGGTCATTTTAGTACCTATATTTTTAAAACATTCATTTTGGATCATATATTTTCAATTTTTATTCATTTTAATTCATGTACTCCCAAACGTTGAATTTAGTCCATTTATTTTTATTTTTATCATAATTCTAGCATTACACTTACCGACTAAATTAGTATTACAAGAATTTTCCTCGTACATAAAATTTTATAAACATAGATCAAATTGGTTATTTTTAAAAGTACAGATACTAAAACAAAAATAATAACCAAAGTAAACGTTTTAAAAATATAAAAATTAAAATACATGTAATAGTATTTAAACCTTTTTTATATATAACTTTTTTTTGACACATTTTTATTTTCTGATATGTTTCGACACAAGTTTATGAATATTGGGAAGTAATTGGAGTTATGAAATAGTCAAATTCACCCATAAATGAGTTTAAAAAGTCACGTGGGTAGGTGACCCATAACCTTCACTTTTTCCCCCACGACTCTCTCTCTCTCTCTCTCTCTCTCTCTCCCAAACGCCGGTTCACTTCATCTAACGAATAAACGAACGTCAACGCCTCCTTAATTCGAGCGCCACCGCCCCCACGCGCCGCCGCAGTT